ATTGAAAGTTTTAGATATTATGGTTACGTACAATTCTTCTTGCTAGGTCTTCCTTGTTTATTTTCAATATTTCTTCGATAGCATCGTTTTCCCCTGTGTTGTGTGTAGATCACCAGATAGATTTTCGAACGAGCTGCAGTCCATCATATCTGATAGAATAAGCCCCACTAACTGCTATGGAACAGTACCTGACAAGTTGATGCTGGACGATATCATTTTTAGCATGCGCTGATAGAAATAGTATTTTGAATGATTGACTATTTATTAAATTCGAGAATAGCCCAGCACTACACGAAAGAAACTTTTTGATTGCCAATACTGTCTAGATGATGCACTTACGAATGAGTAACACCGAAATCAATTGTTAATTTTTTTTAAATATCAAATAGATTTATTTTCTCAATGAGATATGTCTCAAGAGTGATATAAATATGAAAATCTTTTGATGATATAAGGTTACAACGAATTTTATAACCAACTTAACAATGCTGGAAACTTGCTGGTGAACGAAAGGAATTTTATGGAAAAACGCCAAAAAAGAATAAGTCGAAAGAAAAGTAACAAAATGTAGAAGGTGAATATATCAAAAAAAGAAAACGTCGAATAGAAGGATGACCAGAAGCTAATGATTTGAACTATATCACATGCTATGCTTTGTCGTTAGTTCAACTTGCTTTCTTAAAATCTAAGATCTGTTATCATCTCTTGAGAAAGTAAAATCAACAGTCTAATATAACTGCGATGGTAGACACAGTGCCATCTCTTCTATCATCAGCTACATGTTTTGCAGTTTGGTTAGAGTATTGGATAAGCAAAACTATGTGGAAAGGTGAGAATGTCATGATCATTATTGCAATTATACTGCACTAATTAGTTGAGTAGTTCAATCGATCATTATTGATGCTAGAATTTAAGAAAGTTCAACTGATTTGATATCAGCAGATTCATATAAATAAACTGCGAATAACATTTCCATTCGATATTTTTCATTAATTCAATCGAAATTGTTATTGTTTCATTTTCGTTTTACTTCGGTGTTCAAGCATAAAATTATTGTTGACCGATTTTTAAACAAACAAATACATAGAAATCGTATACAAAACGAATGTCAGTGACTTAATGCTGTCCTAGACAGGTTGCATTCAAAAATTTTGGTTAAATTACTACTAGGTCATGAAATTTTATTTTACTCCACTTGTTCAATGAAACTTCATTGCACGCAGTGGCAGCAGGCTTATAGTCACACAAAACAATACATAAAAAGAAGGTCAAAGTTGAAAAACTGTGACTATGTAATCTTCGAATAACTTCGAAATTCATCATATTTAATCAGATTGATATCCATATGATTTGCCTCGTTTCGTTGTTTCTAAGGCCTAATAATACGATATGACGTTTGTTTTTAATTTTTTCCCTGTCTTTTATGTCAAGGTATATACCTTCAAATATTATTCTTCAATGCCACTTCAGTGTGATAATCTTGTAGCCAGCGATTACTATTGAGAAATAAAACCGATATGGCATCACTAACTTGATTTCTCGTTGTATTTTTTTTTACAAAACACATACACATAGAGAAATATACAGCAGCAAGCAAAGACAAGCGAGAGATAAGCGGTAAATACGCAATAGCAATTTAATAGCAAATAAGGTGAAGAGAGAAAGAGTACACCAATTACAAAAGCTGCAAGCACACTTATACTATACCACTATTCTGGCTTTGATTTACACGATGTGATATTTCCATTTGTTATATGGTGCCAAAAAGTACTTGCTGCTTGCCATAGCTAACTATTAAATCTGCAACTGTTAGAAACATTAGCATCAGTCGAAAATACATTATCTCTCGACTATTACTGACGTTGTCGACAACATCTGGGTCATCCATGTATACTGAAATATGAAAAAATGCACTTTTCATCATTCGTTTACATACTACAAACTAGTGACGTAACTTGAAAAAACCTTGTAGGGTAGCTGAGCCCCTCCCATTTAACCATGTATGTAGAGAAGGCTCAATGCCTTCTAAAAGGGGAGCCAAGCTCCCTCTAGCTCTCATTTGGTTACGTCACTACTAGAAATATGAAAAAGATGATATTTATAAGAGCAAACAAATTCTCTTGTCTAAAACACAACTATTCTAGATTACGTTTAAAAAAAGAAGCGAGTTTATATTTTTTTTGTTACATAACTTATCTTAATTTTATAATGCAAAATATGATATTAAGAATCTTTTCTTTCTTAGAGTACATTTCTTGTTTAACGAATCTTCGATATTGTGGCAAGCACTTTTGCTCGTTTGCAAAATCTTTTTTTTATAGGAAAGATTGTGCTTGTGAGAACGTTTTGTTTATATCCAACAGTTCTAAAATTGCTTCAAGTCGCATACTTTATCTTTAGAAAACGAGTGTCTTATTCGTTTTCTCGAAACATAAAAATATAAATTGTTTGGAAAACCTTAATTAATTGCTATACTAACCAACTCTTCACAAATAAAGGCTTCAGTTTTCGAAAATTGAACCTACTCTCTGTCGAAAAACACTCATTTAAAATAAAATGCGTTCATTTAAGAACATGGTTTTGTTGGTTTACTATGGTCTTCTCTTTATATGAAACATTTTAATCACTTCATCAAGTACTATTCTTTCAAAATGTATCATGTTACGAAATTAAAATTCTATTTTCACTTGTTATTATTAAGTGACAAGAATTTCACATACGGAAAATCTTTGTACTTAAGTTTAGGTTATCCTACCTTACAAACCTTCTCATATTTTGCAATTCGAACGAATGACAAGAGTCATCTGAAACAAATTCTTTACTTTTTCTGAAGAACACTATTATTATAATGACAAAATTTTGGTTTCTCCAGAAGCGGAATGTGTATCGAAAACGAACATGTTCGTTGGAAGTATTTTTCGCTGTCTTTGTCAGAAAAATATTCTTTTCAAAACGTTTTCACTATTAAAACAGTGAACAAACTTTAGTTAACGTAAGACGTAAATAATGCAAAGTTAGAATAAATTGTATTTTGCTTTTGTTTTTGCTAATGATTAACAGAATTCAAATAAATTAAAAAGATCATATTCGGTTCAATTAACAAAGCTTGCTATAAGTACATATAAAACCAACAAATGATTAGTTCACTCAAATTTTGTATCACTGTGATCATATAGGAATGTGTGGTTTAAAAAATATTCATTAATACTAAAAGAATGTCTGTCATCGGAAAACTTTTTCATACTCATCTCAACTATTATCTGTTCAAAAAAGTCTGTTTCTATCTCAATATAATATTGTATCATATTTTTTCATTCACTCTATGCACCTTACATGTATTATTATGTAGAATTTCTCTTGAGAAAAGACTGTCTTTGATTTTGATAGTGAAGAAACATAGAAAAAAAAAAACTTTTTTTAAAAAGACGTATTCTTCATAGAATAGAAAAAATTTCCTCTACGTAAAATTTGCCTGACTTTTGTTTATGCATTTATTGAACTTGGATACCACTTGACGATTCCTGTAAATCTTTCTTGTTCTTTTTTCATCAGACATCTCCATTGAAATATCCATGTCAGTAATATCATCATCGTGTTTTTTTTGAGTCACTGATAGTGAAAAGATGAGAAAACACAACTAGACCGAGGAGTAATCTGTTTCCACAACAGAATAAAGCATTCATTACGACGATTCTTGATGAGTTCGAATATGATCGATTCTTCACCAAAAGTATCATCTGGAACACGACTAGATGTTGGTAAATATTGTTGACGAAAAAAGCCTGAAATTAATCACCATGTTCTTTACATACCAGTTGTATGTGGTTCATAGACCAGATACATTGAATTGTATCCTTCTCTTTGAACCCATACTCTGTGATTTCCAGCTGATGAAACGGTTGTAATAGCAGACATCTGAGATATACGAGAATATTAAATATATACAGAAAGACAGTAAAATGATGGATGTAAAACATGAAAGAATTCATAAATAGAACTTGTACTCTATTAGTTGAAGAAATTCCTTATTTATTTAAGTTACCCTCAACAATCATATGAGATTCGATATTTTTAAATAGATGGCACTACCTACTAATCATACAATAAGTTCATATGGATCCGTGTCGAGAACTACGGTTTTGGTGCGCGTACGGCACAAAACAGTAATACGCATAACGACAACACACCCAGTTTGCATGCCAAGCGTGTATCTACAGCATGACAGTGATATACCTTAGAGTACATCAGTGCACTTTGATAATTGTCCTAGTGGTTCATCACTGCAAGGCAACCCTGTTTTGTGGTACCATGTCCTTTACTAGCGTGTCTTTCAATTTTACTTTCCATGGTTGTGTGGGGGTGAATAGGTACCTGTTTGGAGAGAAGAATCCGATTGGTACCTACCTCCAAAATGAGTTTCATCAAAGTTATTTTGACAGCAGCAGTAAAGTTATAAAACGACGGTGGAACTCCAAACTACAAATGACTAAACAATAAAAACATATTTTTCATGAAATTCATTTTTGACCCAATCCTGATGAGCATCCTGGGTGAATTGTTCGATGAACAAGAAACGTTTGTGAAACTGATTGAAATACAAATAACTCAACTCAGTTTGGGATAGTGATTTACAATATCACATTAGTTTTCAAATACATCATAACTTTATTATCGAAATCTATTGAATATCAGTAAAAAAAGGCTCAACAACATGGTTTGGGAACAGTCTTCAGAAGATTTCCTTGGCTAGTCGATGTTTTTATACAGTTTTGGAGCACATGAAAAGTGATATTGAACCATATGAAGATAACGTGAAACTATTTCTACCAGAGCTCACTTTCCAAAATCTTGTGTGATTGGTTGACATAGAAAAAATCAAATTTCTCGAGATAGCTAATTTCAGTAGTTATCAACTTCCCTCCTCTTTTCTGCAAGTTGAAAAACGAACGAACTTTTTTATCATATTACTTTTCGGTCACTCTCAATGAATAGGAAATAATTTAAACTTTTTTTCTTGCTAATCCAACATCAGCTAATAATTTCAAATCAAAATTAATCATTGTAGCTTCATCAGGTTGTCCTTGAAAGTATGTTGTACAAATTTCATCATCACCATTATGTGTTACAATACATTCATCATCAATATCATTTATTTCATCTATTAATTCACAATTGTCACGTCTCACTTAGATACATAGTGGTACATGAATAATTAAATTTTCACCTGCTTTTGCATTTATACATGTTTTATAAGCATGTTCATCATCGAATGCTATATAACGATTAGCTAAACTTTTTTTTTCATAAACATTTCTTAATGTTAAATGGCGTTTAACACGTACAAGTACCTAACCACCTTGTCCTCCAATACTACCATATTTTTTATTTTGTATAAACAACGAATGCAAAACATTAATGCTTACAACAACAAAAATTTCATTCGATATTTCTCACGTTGTTTAATTGACAACTCTAAACAAATTAACCTAAGTTTTTCATAATAAACTATTCTTGCTGAGCTCAGTATCTATGGTAAGTTTAAAATCGAAATTCGAAAATGAGTTTTCTTAGTGTGCCTGAGGATAAAGATAGCATTGAAGTAAAAAGCAACGTAACAATCCAATATCTCGACAGCGATAAGCAAAGGAATTGATCCTTTCTCAAATTTTTCATAACTCATTTAAGTCTATATGAGGTATATAGTTTCGATTCAGAGGCAATTAATCAGTTAGAGGACTTCATTCGTCAGAGTTTCATCAAAAACAAAACTTGAAAACATTGTCTTTCTTAAACCATGGACTACGTTTAAGTATTATATTTTGTTTTGAGATACATTACATAATCCATAATGATGTAGTCAAATATTGCTGACAATTTACTACATTACTCGAATACCAAGTTATTTTGTCATGCTCTCTAAAAGATATTGCTTATGATTCGTTTCTAGCAATTAAATAATACAAGCATCGTAGAATGAATATTATTGTTATTCGCATTAAAAAATATCAAAGATATTGATTAAATAAAAATTCACTAAATAATTAAATATATGTACATCAAATAAATTAAAGAGAATCGAAAACGAACAGAAAAACTGCCATGAGAAATCTCTTCACCAAGAAATTACGATTTTTGAAATCGTTTATGATTGTAAATAAGAGCTTCTGCACATTTTTTGCTAAATAAACAAAATATTAACAGATCTCAATAGAGAAACTTATTAATTATTTGTTAAATGTGTAGTTCAATTGAATAACTTCGAACAATCATTGAAAGAGTAATATAAAAGATNCCCCCCCGCGCCCCCCCGCCCACCCCCCCCCACCCACCCCCACACCCTCCCCCACACCCACACCCTCACCCACACCCACACCCTCACCCACACCCACACCCCTCAAGGATCCATGCATGTATCATTTCTTTTATTTTGTAAAATTTTATTAATATTTTGACGTTGATAGCACAAGAACATCATTACCAGGCACGAGACGATAAAAAAATCTAACAAATACTCTTTACTTATGGGTAATCCATCCATTCAAATAATCTCTGATAGAATATTTTATGCATTTTATCCCAAAAACTCTTGGGAACAGTTACAAGCTCCTTCGAACGATTATTGAGTACGACCTCGAACAGATGCAATCGAACTTTACTTAACTAGTGAAGTACCAATCGAATCAGATCAAAGTTGTGCAAAAATGATCATTTTGTCTGCTATTCTGATGTTCTCTATTTCAGGGCGTTATCTCCCTCAGAGACCCACATTTTTCTTAGTCATACACCATAATCTATGGTTCAGAATTCTCGTGGAACTAATTAGGAAAAGTCGTCAACTGACGTTTGAAGAATTATCGATTTGTGCTATTCATCATTAGATTTGCAGCATACACATGATACAATGGAACAAATGGAAATGCCATCAACTCGAACAGCAGGCAACTCTTCAACAAGGATTTAGTGTGAGTGATGGTATTCTTTTTGAGCTCACCCTAAGAAGGTAAAAAGGGTGTGGGTGTGGATGTGGGTGAGGTTGTGAGGTGTGGATGTAGGTATTAATCTTGTCTTGATACCGATACACCCACACAAATACTCGCCCACACCCACATTTCTCAGTATTATTCTTAACGACAGAGTATGATTCAGAACAATATATTTATAATCTTTGGAGAAATTGAGTAACCATGGTTAGTTTTATTATTGTTACAGTAAAGCTTGTATTTGGATTGTCAGGTTTTTATTTTTTATTTTCCAAGAGCAATGATACATCCTTAATATTTAAACCACAGCATAACCAAGAAGACCTTCGTTTGTAGCTTGCTCACAATTTGCATTTGGTGAAACAAAATAGTCAGAACCTAATCGACATCGATAAATGGCCACTGTTTTAACACTAGTCTGGTCGTTTGTATAGATATAACCCAATGGTCCTAGGGCATCTTGATTTTCACAATGCTGATTTACAGACGGAAAACGCCGTTGATCAGTTTTACGTTGACATTCAAAGATCAGTTTAGTATTTGGTTGGGGTTCACGAAACAATTTCCATGTTTGTTCAATTGTGTATCCGGCCTGTAATGGCCGTGTGGTTGAAATGTGACCATTTGTTTGATGATGCGCTCGTTTCAGAATAACATAGGGTAAGTTTTGGAAGCCACATGATAATTTTGATGGTGACACATCGAAACGATTGGCCAATGCCCACAGTGACCATGCTCGCTTGTAGTTTCCATTTGTGTCAACCAAACCTAAGCCGAGTCCTTGCTGTATTTCAACAATATGATCTTTCATACGATGATAAACGAATAAGTCGACATTTGGCGTAGCTAACATTATTTCAAAGGCAGCACACAATTGATCGTGTTGTTTATTCTGATCTGAATTAGGTGCTATAGAATTAATGCCATTTTCTGTCAAATAAACTTTATGTGCGGATGAAGTATTCGGATAAGTTTGCATCAACCATCCGACAAGTCGATTGATGTTTCCAAATGTAATTTTCGGCCAATCGTTCGGACCAAATTCAGCACGAAGAAGACTGGGTGGATATGGATGATAAGCTAGAGCCCATTGTCGATTTCCTAATTTGGGCACTAGTTTAGTGACAAATGTTCGACCGGACATAAACTTAGATAATTAAAAAATGCAAATTGACGAGAATAATTTGTAATCAAGCTTACAAATGGCATACTTACTGGATTAGTCGCCGAAGCATACTGATCAAAAATTGTATCGAAATGATGTTCAAGTGAAACGAGAACGGGTGCTTGAGGTTGTTCACGACGAATCTGATCATAAGCAGCAATATAAACTTGAGCGTAATGTTGAACCCATGCATCAATGTTACATGGTTTACCATTGCCACATCCAATATTGTACCATTCGGCTGCATTGACTTCATTCATAATCACAAATTCTGTTATGCGTCCTTTGCCATTTTGACCATTGTAATGCCATGCAAGGAAGCCAGCAAATCGACCGAAAGCTGCAGCATTGTCAGGTGCACAAAACGCCTGATTTGCTTGTTTACAATCAGTATTACGTTGACGGGCCCATGCTGGTGGAATGATTAGTACAGCAGTGACCATTAATTGTCGATCTGTATATGTTTTTATTATGCTATCACGTGCCGGTACAAAACAATAGTCATCGTAAGCGATTTCATTGTTCAAGCATGGTATACGTTTTTCTTGTGGTTGAAAATCGGCCCTACACGAAAATATTCTTACTATGATGATTGATAGCAAAGAAAGAAAAGATATAAGATCAAGGAGTTGTCAACTTTTGAAAACAAGAAATGGCATATCAAATGTACATTTTCAATGATTTTTTACTCTGGTAGTCAACTATTTTTTAATAGTAATTCATAAGTCTTTGATTGAAATTATTGGGAATATTTGATATACCAAAAGTTCTCGTCTGTAATATCTATAACTTTGCATATTTATTACCAAGGAGTATTGATCGCAACGCCACCTGCTCCATTGCCTGCAATATCCTCAACTTTCCACTGATCTGGTTGAATTGCTTTGATTCCATAGATTGATCGTTGGGGATAGATCCTTGGATTGCTGAGTTCGGTAGCTGATGGCCGAAATGTTTTCTTATCAGTCAACCCATCACTTATCGAAAATGCGTAGTACCAAAGCAGTACGAGATACACCGATAAATTTCTCATTTACGAAATAGAATCGTTTTCTTTTTCTTTATTATATATTTCTATGCAACAACGTTTTTATGCGAGAAAAAAATCGATATGGTATCGAAATCGTTTTTTTTTCTTGATCCATATGACACTTGTAATTGCGAATTACGCGGTCGTTTTATAATTGAATTTTCTCATCTAGTTGACTGTGGCCTACCCAGATTTTTATGCATTTTTTTTATTCTAGCAGGAGCTTAGCCATCGCACAAGTGAAGTGATTATCTAATACCAAAAACAAAACGGCCACAAACAAAAGCTTTAAAATTATTTTCTGAAGAAGCGAAATAGAACGATTTGACTGAAGTTGTGGATGTGACTCTTGGCCAATCGAGAACCTATATACCCAAATTTCAACGATTTCATTAAATGATATGCGTGAAACATGCTGTTGTTGTATCGAATAATGCAAATATTTGAGATAAAGTATATGAATTGATGTTGACAGAGACTTACAAAAAGACATCCACACCCTTTGTGATTTCTTATCCATGTTAATGGAATACAATCAGTTCCGGTAACAATAAATATGTATATGTGTACATATCATTTTGTTTACCGCATTCAATATATGAAATGAGAAGTTGCTTGTTCTACATTGATAAACCTATTGAAAATGTTACTGTGACAAAGCCTTTGCATTTTAGTGTAATTATTTGTTTTATCAATTATCATATCATCATTTTTTATTATCTTGGCATGACAAAATATCATTTTTTGTATGCTTTCGCTTCCACCTGATGCATTAAAAATCTATAATCTTGAAAGTCAATTGATTAATTGATTTCATTTGGTACATATATGTCTCGAGACATCCACAACCAGTTTTATGATCGAACAAGAAAGGTTTTATCTACTTAAATTTGTTCTCATTGAACTGTATTCTTTGTCAAACAGAATATTCGACGTAAAGCTTGTCTGGTGAAAAATTGATGAACCCAAACAATATTTCTGTTGCTTTAATCTAAACCTAGTAGTCAATACGAATATGCGAGATACGTAGTACATCCTACACATTTCCTGGACAAGCAATTTTAGATTAGCATCAGCTAGATCAGTCATGATCAACAGATAATCTCTAGACTCTAATCCAAAATCGATTCGATGCATTCGAATTGGGCAAAACAAGAAGATTGTTCAAAGATAATTAACATGCTCACTTTGGTTATATTTTCTTGAATATAAAGAGACGGAGTGTGAGTGTGGGTGTGAGTGTGGGTGTGTGGATGTGGATGTGGATGTGGGTGTGGGTGTGGATGTGGATGTGGATGTGGATGTGGGTGAAGGAAAGACTAACACCCACACTCACACCCACACCCACACCCTCCCACACCCTCGCTGAATTATTGACTATGAGTTGTAAAAGTATGCTTCACTAATTATGATGGCCGTTTATTGCTTTAGCAAATATAAATATAAAAATGCTCGTGTGATACCTTTTCATTCTATATAAAACTGATCGATCTATCATGATTGGTTTGTTCTTGCTGGCAAATGGAACGAAAAACAATCTGAAATGTGTGTTCATTCTAGTAGAAAAGAAAGAAAATTGTCTCAGATCGATCTGTGGATGAGAATGGTCTATCATGTTAGATTGAATATTCAGCAATCAATGAATTGAGCTAGATTCAATTGTCACTTTTAATAGAATATACGGTTCATGGTTTAACTTGTGTATCATTTTTTTCTTTTTATTGCTGCATTTTTGCGACATATTGAATATTATTCTCGAGTTTAGCTAAATTTGGGTGTTCTGATGGAAGTATTTGTCGATAAATCTGTAGTGATTGTTCGAAATATTGTCGACCTTCAGTCATCGCGCCTAAACTCAACTCAATTGCACCCAGATTGTTGAGTAAGGCAGCTGTTTCAGATGAATTAGGCGGAAGAACACGTTTAAAGATTTCAAATGCACGCATACTAACACTGAGTGCTTGAGAAGCATCACCAAAGTCGTAATAAATACTGGCCAGTGTCCCCAAGCTTGAGGCTATACTTACTTCATCGATGGGTACTATAGCTTCGCGTATGGCACAGGCTCGTTGGGCATAAGCAAGTGCTTCTGACAGCTCGTGTCGAGCTCGATAAGCATTTGAAATACCTATTAGGTTAGTAGCAATAGCAGCTTGATTCGGTGATTTCATAGATTCATGTAGTTTTAGTGCACGAGTATGATATTCTAAGGCTAAGTCGAATTCACGACGTTCATGATGTGCTCTGCCAATGCAAGTGAGCGTTTCAGTAGTATCGTCGTCTGTCTGAATGATAAAAGAAAACAAAAACATATGAAGACAAGTGATATTAATTTATTGTATCGTCGAACGATCGACCTCTACTAAAATAGGCTTATACTCGACTGTTTGCTAAAACGTTTTGCTTTTATCGGAGAACCGAGATGTTCATAGCAGCGTGGTACGACAATGGCAATCTCGCTTTTATGAAGATCGTAAAGTTTGATGAATTTTTAATCAATTTCAGTGTCTGCAAATGCAGTACTCCTAATCGACAGTGAACCTCGATTTTCATAGAATTTCTCGGAAGCCATCATGGCACCGTCGTAGTAGCCTTGTCCATTCCGGAACTGCGGTGAACATCTCTGTTGTAGAAGGACGTCATCGAATATGTCGAATTGATAGATATTGACTAATCTATTTCGCAATAAAGCCACCAATTCCAATTTTACATATCTTGTGAGAAAAACAGAAACTATTGGTCCTCGAGAAAATTTCAAATTAAATCACATAACTTTTGTATTTTTATCTAAACAAGAGCAAGATCGCTATTTTTTAGTCTTCTCAGTGATCTAAAAAGTCAAAGACCATGGCATTAAAATGATGAAACAGACAAAAAAATTGATGTATTTTTTAAGTCATTGATTAAAGTGAACATTTTCATCGGTTTCATTGCATGATTTTAATTAAAAATCAAATTCATTGCATTTGATTAATTAAAATGACGTTTTTAATCAATGAATTTGAAAAACATCAATTTTTATGTTCGTTTTACCACCCGAAATGCCTTTTTTTCCATGTTTTTGACATTAAATTCACAAAAGTCCTGATTTTTTTTAACTTTTTAAGTCGCTGGGTTGATCCTGGAATTTCGCGTAAGAATACTGGTGAAAAAAAGTCAACTTGCATATGCTTCTTTTCACTAGGCAGCTCAAACAAGGACGGTCGTAAACTGTAGAAAGAAAAATACAGCGCTTGACATGGTTCAGTATTACAATCTTATTTATTCACGTCAAATATCAAGAAAAGAACAGTCGTTTATGAACGTATACGAACTTCCTGTATGTTGCTCTGGGTAATTGTAGAACGACATCCTACTGATCCTTGTATTACTGAGAATAAGAAAACGCTACGCTAGTATTCGTTCGAATTTTGTTGTCACTTACTTTTTCTTGAAGTTTGAGTGCCTGTGTATAGAAGTTAAGCGCATTGTTGTAGTCTCCTTTGTTATCAGAATATAGACGACCAATCTGAACGAGTATACGAGCTGATATAGGATGAATTCGTTGATATGCTGCTATAGCTAAATCGATTTCACCGTTCTTGGTATGATTTTCTGCTTGTAATTCATAATCAGATATTTTCGTCTTACTGAAATAAATGAATCACAAATAAAACAATTCCAGTTGTTTTCTTCTTGGTTACAATTCTCGATTATTATTTTATCATGCAATTTTTCAAAAACACATTTACCTGTCTATGATTTCAGTTGATGGAGATGATAGAGGTGATAGAGGTGAGACTTCTGGGGAACGAGGTGATAGAGATTTCAGAGGAACTAAGAGTTGTTCAAGCATTGTTTGAACAGTTTCTCCCTTATGATTATCTTTATAACTTTGTGCCAATTTCTTTCCTTCGTTAGGCGCTGCTTGCATCTTGACGATCGAGATCGTACCCCGATTGATACACATTATACGAAAAGTCATGCCAACATCGAACACAACAACTGACGTACGATTCTCTGTAGGCACTTCAGCTAAATTAACCGACGAATCGCAATCGATTTTAAACAAAACCGACGAAAGATCGGTTCGATAGCCGAGCGATGAAGCCAAATCCAAGGCGATCGTTCTTGATTTTGTACAAGTGAAAAAGCCACTAGCACACATAACTTTACCAGTATGCATTTCGAAACTATCGACTAGTTTACTTGGCAACTTCATGCCTCGATAGAGCTGAAGACTTCCAGTGCGTTTTGATTGTTGTTGTATCGATCGCGACGCATCGGCGATCAAAAATTGACAAAAATTAAGTTGTTTAGGTTGACAAGATGAAAACGCATGTTGAAGAAGATATGAAGGAAAAGGAGCTTGGATACACCAACGCTGCGCCTCTTTCGGGCGGTATGTTCGATTGAATTCATCAATAAGTCTAATCCTTCCCGAATTACTTCGATAATAGTCTCGAGCCATTTCGAGAAAGTCATTTTTGTTGTTTGTTGGCAGTTTTTTGCTTATCAACTACATAAACAAAGAGATCTTAGAAATAATTGGTATAAGACATAATTGTAATAGTCACCTCCTCTTTCCACAATTGTAACCAGAGAAATATTTTATCTTCTTCAAATACAACTGTTTCTAGTTGAATCTGTTGAAATCTATCTAAAGTCTTTTTGAGCATTTGAAGAAGTTCTTCCTGTTGAGTAAAGACACCTAGAAACTTATGATATTGGCCGTTGACAGAATTTGCATCACGATCAAATACAAATATGGCCTCAATACTATGCATGTTGTTAACTGTTGCAATCAATTTTTCATTAGCCGACGATGATATGAGAAAGATCTTGTCTTTTGAATCTTGTAATGCCTCCAAACAAGTCGATGCATCAGTGTAAGTTCGAACGTTATCATTGATTGCTCGAAGTGAACTAATAAATTTAGGCGTGGATTGTGATTGCAAATGTAACCAGATGAATATGATAGATTCACGATTTACTTGTGTGCTCAATGGAATGGATTGATTTCGAGAGAAAGCTATTTCATTATTTGATGGAGCAGATAAGGAAGATGCTATTGTCGTGCGACGACCTTCAGTGTTTTTTATCGTCAGTGTCAGATTAGAATGATGACGAAATATGCGTTGTTGACTCATTCGTTGCCTAAATAACTATGTAGAAAAACGTCTTTTCATTAATTGAGAATAATCGTGAGATCACTCAAAAGACGAAAAGATAAAAAATATGTAGCTGTCATGATACAGTAAATTTTTTTTGAAACTTGGTGATCTATCTATGATGAACCTATTTTCTATTATGAGATCTTCTTTAAGAAGGTGAGTGCCGCTAGGGACGGTTAAGAACTGCTTGAAACCCTCTCTAGAGGAGTGACCAAAGGGAGTCTTTGCCCATTCTAGACATATGGTGAGAAGAGACTAGTTTCCTACACAATTTTTTTTCTGGTTACATCACTAGATCGAACTGAGTCAATTGAAAAAATAAAACATATATTAAAAGATAATGTTATGATTAAGTTTCCATCATGAACAACAAAACGATTTCAACCTAGAGCAGAGCCCATTTGAAGTAAGAATTTCTGGAGTTGGACTTAATTGATTGATCTTCTGTGGGTAAAACCTATTCGTTCAAAATTTTATTGGCCCGTATTTGTACTCTGATCCGGTCGGGTTTAAGTGGAATCCAATGAGCGCTAACCAAGGATAGATTCAAGCTGACCCAGGTCTAATGGCTCTGCCGCCTATAGCTTTTATTGAATAAAACTTTTGGAGAAATTTAAAACAATTTTTTTAATCAAATCTATGAAAACATTTACCATCGATATTATAATGCTATATCGAGTCTTTTTCTCAAAATTCGACAGCCAGATAGTGAAATATTTAAAACGTTTTACTAATTTTAAGTGGAATTGATTCAGTTTGCTTTCTGAATAATTATTTTTATAGTAAATTGTAGTAATAACCACATATAACTTACGTCCTTTTATTTAATGATCCTTTAACTAAGAATTGACAAAATGAATCCTAACTGCTTAGTTTCATTTCAATTTCGAATATTTTCTTTTATGATTCATTCTAAGAATTTATGAATAGAACTATAATTTAAAACATTACTTAACTCAAAGGATAGAATTTAATGTGAAAAAGCTAAGCTCAATATGAAGTCTCTTTTCAATTGATATTTCGATCTGCATTTTTCTAGCAAAGATATTCAAATATATCTGCTGAATGTTTCGTTCCTTTATTTTTTGCATCAGTATATTACTAAATATTGAGTAAGTATCGCCATTTCTTTTTCTTTCTGTTTTTCAAGATCTTAAGCTTCAAAAATGTATCTCAAACGACAAAACAACTGCGAATCGTATTGTTGATCTAATATATAAAGTTTAAGATCAGCAGAAGTTTTCTTGAATATATATGAATAGTACAAGTGTAGACGTTCATAATACAAATAAAGGTTTAAGATGAAGATGCACAGTGTCGATATACTCTTTGAGTCTTTTTAATAGATGCTTGAATAGCATCTATTGGATAGGCCACCACAAGCTTCACCAACCATATTCTCTATCTTATAATATACTATTGAGCTATGTCAATGGCACATAATAGTCATGATTTAAACGCAATTGAACTTGCTCGAAACATTGACAAGTAGAAAATTACAAACAGAGGACCTTAAGTCGCACCGTGAACTAGAGAAGAGAGTGGATAAAGCTTTTAATGGCCTGTCATTAAATGTTATTCAAGCATCTATGAAAAAGACTTAGAGGGTACTTTTATTTGTATTATAAACGTCTACACTTGTACTATTAATACGTATCCAAGAAAACTTCTGTTGACCTTAAACTTTACATATTAGATCAAAAACACGATTCGCAGTCATTTTGTCATTGATAGTATCATAGTTGTAATAAACTATATTTCTCTAAGTAATCCTTGCAATATTACTTTATATCTGTATTTAACGTCAAAAGTCATGTTATTCAGATGTTTTTCATCTAAATTTCGATAGAAATAGAATAAAGATGTGTGACTATCATGTAAGAAAAATTTACTATGGTTCTTCGTATGCATATTGAAGTTGCTTCTATTACAAGAGCATCCACTACGAAAAAATATTCTGTTTTTCGATCTATACAAAACTGATGTTTCAAGTTTATTCTGTTTCATTGTTATAACAGTTTTTTTTCAGACATTTTGAATTACGTCAAAATAATCTTGAATTTCAGGAATGTAGTTCTATAAGGAGATAATTGATGACACTGAATCGAATAATGCAGGATGTCTGAAAAGTAGCTCCCTATTTTAAATCTTTTATTACTCTCAAGCAATAAAAGATATCGTAATGATATTTTCACTGTTTAAAGCATGTGCGATGGCATTTTGTTATCGATGAAGCAAGACGATTGATCGTTTGACTGTCTAGGATCAAGCATGTATTTCGGCCGAAGAATGTCTGAACATAACTCATTATGTTGAGTAGTATATTATTCTTAGGCAAAAACAGCTCTATAACAACTACATAAGCGTATGAACGATGGAGGAACCTTGGTAAAAATTTAAGACATTATATGTTACAGTATTATGTGTACTTTAAAAACAATAAAAGAGTTGCTATAGAATTTGTTCTCGTATAAGAATAATAAACTACTCAAAATAATGAGTTCTGTTCAGATTCAGACATTCTCCAGACGAAATGCGTGTTCGATCTGAGACAGTCAAACGATCAATCGTCTTGTTTCATCTACAACAAAATACCATGACAAATACTTTAAAACAGTGAAAAACTCGTTATGATATCTATTGTTGTTTGAGAGTAATAGAGAATTTAAAATAGGGAGCTCCTTTTCAGACATCCTGTAGTTAGCCTCTGTCATGAAAAAATGTTGAGATAAGTAATCGTTTTTAATTTCTTCGACCTGAAAAATAAATCTCAACGAGGAACTTGGTCTTATTGGCAGGTCGACATAATATCACGGTATGATAATTGTCACACCTAACAATTTCATTCGATTTATAATCAAAAACTGACAATAGAAAACAAGAGGCAAAACTGACTATGCTGCTGCTGCTACGAATCAGTATCTTTAGGCAAGTGCTATTGACTCATTTCTTTAAAACATATAAGTTCATCCATTACTCATTTGTTCTGTTTTTGTTTTCACTGACTATAAGGACATCGCCATAGTAAATATGAGTTACAGAGAGAAAGATTTGCTAAGGTTTCGGTTTTTTTAAACATATTCTTTTCTTTTGCTGCTTTGCTCTTAGTTTCAAATGCAGAGAGAACGAATTTCTTGAAGAAATTTTTTTTTGTTTAATCCTAGTACGTGTTGAAATCTATTGGTATACCAAATAAAAAAAAGACCCTGGCCCACCACTGTTCTTTATGGTTCATTATCCCTGTATAGAATCGTTTTCGTGCGATTCAAGACAATGCACTCATTGTCAAGAATCTCCGAAGAACTCCTCTAACACTGAAATAGACCAAGCAACAAGTATCAACTTTATGTAAATCAAAGAAAAATACTTTTTCCTATTCAATGCTCATATTAGCAGCAAAAAAGGTGAATGAAAAATGCTTTCAGAAGAACGTTTTCAACATGTTCATGATAAGCTACGTATATTGGTTATTTATCTTTTGAAAATCAATTGTCATTGGATAATTTCTATATTCATAAGGATAGT